CCCAGGCCAGAGAGACACTGTGAGGTTGTGCCGACCCAGCTTCCTGGGAACCACTAAGCGGGTACAGGCAGAATCCAGGCCAGGAAAATACCTTTGTCTAGGTTTCTATATGAAAGCAAGAACTGTGCTATGCATTATTCTCTTGGGGCGGGGGTGTACTTTGATTTCCCAAGCAAAGAGAAGCTGTGAGTTGTTTTATGATGGAGCTTAATATTGCTTCCAGAAACCTGATGAGCTAGCTGATTTTGTTTGTGTACTGAAGGTGAATGTGATTTAAGAATAGGCAATAGAAGCTAGTGTTTATTGAGCTTTTGCTGTGTGCCAGGCACTGTTCCAAGAGCTTTACCTGATTATGGTATTTACTCACCCCAACAATACCGTAGGTTTGTACTGTTCTTAGCCCTAATTTACAGTTTGAGGAAAATGCACCACCAGAGAAGTTTAATAACTTGCCTTTTGCCACATAGCAAGTAAGCAGCAGAGCTGAGAATCAAATCCAGACAGTGGCTCCAAAACCCCCTCTCTACACCATGACCCTGCATTTCCTTATGCTAATTACAGTGTATATAAGGAATCCTGACTTGAGGAGCCTAGCGTTCACATGGGGAATTTCATTTTTCCCCCTCAGTTACCGCTCCAGCTGTATCTTTAATGACTTCTTAATTATTCCAGTTATCTAGACCTGTTTTTGTCTGTTTGGTTTTTTATGGAAATCAACTGTTCCTTAACCCGACCCCACTCACACACTGGCAGCAGACGGTGGTGCTTCCTGGACCACTTCTGAGATACCCCTGGTCCCCTTCTGGTGTGGGCCCGGGGAAGAGGACTAGGTGACAGAAGTCTCCTTAAGTGGCTGTCCAGTTGGTGGGGGGAGAGTGTCCCTGGCCTCTCTGCTGCCTCCTCTAGGCCAAGCTCTCGGAGATTTCTGAGTGGGTCTTATGTGCGGATATCTGGGGCAGGGGGCCATGTTCAGCTTTCTCCTGGCTCCATCTGGCTGGGCCTGAAGTCTGTGGCTTCAATCCCTTCTCTGAGTTAGGGGCTTCATTGCTGGGCAGCAGCCCTCAGGCCAGCTCCCGGCACCCTGCCCTCTGCACAAGGTCATGGGAATGGCTGGGGTCCTCCTCCTTTTCTTCCCTCCTGGGGCCCGAGGAGAACGAGGATGGGGTGAGGTGGCCTTTCTTGTCCATCTCCCCTCACCTTTGGCTTCATGAGCCCCTTCAGGATCACCCCTCTTCCCCTCGAGCAGCACTCCTCCTCCACTTCAGAAACAGACCCTCTGTTCAAGGAAGCACCCAACTTCAGGGACCACACAGAAAACACACCCTATTTTTACCCGGAGAGGGAGCATAATTCTTGACTCCCCAAACTCTCTCCAAGCTCCACTCCTGAGTGCACCAGGTGGGCCCGTGGTGCTGTGGCTCAGAGAAGTCGGTGGGAATGAGAGGCCCCTCCCCTCCCTGCAGGTCCTGCCATCCTGGTGAGTGGTTCTCTGGAAGGCCCTGCATCTGGCTTGGGGAGGACAAAGCCTGGGGAGAAAAGGGATATCCTCTTACCCTGAACGCTGCTCTTCCCCAGTGGCAGCTACAGACCCTCCCTTTCTTCTGGTCCTGACCTTCTACCCGCTGGCCTGGGTCAGGTGGGTGAGGGACAGTGCAGGTTCTGCTAGGATGGCCCCCCTCCATGGGAAGCTCAGGGGCACCGCTCCGACTGGCCCATTCAGCACTCAGACTCTGAGCGGACCGCCTCAACGCAGGTCAAGTTGTTGGGGAGGGGGTGGAGGAAGAGAAACCAGCTACGGCCAAATGACAGCCTCGATTACAAAATCGGTTTGGTTTCTACGTCCCCTTGGCAGAGATCCTTTCCAAACTCCTCTGTCTAGCCTGGGCCCCATGCGTAGCACCGTCCACCCCCAGCAGGCACCTGCTCCCTGTGCCCGCCTCGCTGACGTCCAGGAGGGGTCCGGAGGACCCGGGATGCCTTCTCACTCTTTGCTGCTATGTAATTTTAAAATTAGCAAAAGCCATAGTTAGAACATTGGGCATTGCTACTGTCACCTGCCCTCTTACCAAGCCACCTCCTCCTCCGGTGACACTCTATCAGCCTCCTGTCACACAAACATCCATAGTTGTCAGTCTGAGAATTAGGTTCATTCCTTCATTCACTCATTCAGCTGGGCTGAATGTACTGGGCTCAAGACTGAGCTCAACTGTAAGGGTTCCCACATTAAAGGGATCCTGGGGTCTCAACCAACTTCAAGACACAGGAACTTCTCTCTCAAGTGAGAGCCCTACCCTGGAGTGAGTTTCACCATTCAAGTTAAAAATTCCAGTGAGAACCATCAAAGGGTGGCCCCCTTTGTTGCTACTCTTCCTTCAGTGATCAGATTCCTCTAGAAATTGAAGAAAGCAGGAGAAATGGTGATGTGAGGGCCAAGAGCCTCACCGGGCTCAGCACGCCCCCTCCCCCACTACCAGATGCTTCCCAATCTCTCCAAGAGTGTGAGTGAACCAGGAGGTCAGGTTAGGACGACCCCCCAAAGTATAATAACCCTCTTCCACCAGGAAGTTATCTCGCCCACAAAATAGGAAGCATCTTAATTTGCGGCGCACAGCACCTACTGAGGACATGCATTCCTGAGATTTAAATGCTGTTCCCAAGGCAGTTAGCAACCATAAAATGGGCCACTGTTATTTGGCTGAAGCCCCCAAGCTAAATAAAAACAGGTAAGTGTCAGGGTGTAGAAGTCCACCCAAAGCTGGGAAGGCCCGTGGCTGGCACATCAACAAGACGAGGGAAAGTAAATCCTTACTCTTGCTGAGCAAAGGTATCAGGAAAATGCCTCCTGACTCCCCCTTGGCCATCCTTTGTCCTAGAAGAAAGTCAAGTCCAAGTTTATTGTAATACATTGACTGTTCAGGACCCTTCTGCCCTCACTGCCTGCACCATCCAAGGCAACCCCTTCCCCCTGTCTTGGGAGTAAGACTCCTTCTACCAGAACTCTGGAGACCTCAGGCCACCCTATGACAGGAACTGCATTTAGGAATATTGAAGCAGCTCGTGGTTTCCACTTTGTTCCCCTTTTATGGAAAAGACTACGGAATCTGGAATCAAACAAATGTGAGTCCACATCCTGGCTCTGCTGCCTATTGGTCTGTGTGAACTGAAGCACAGCTTTGACCTCGTGAAGAATCTATCCCTTAGCCCAAAAATGGGAGGACTTGGGTCACTTCCAGGACTGTGATTAATACCACATGTGAAAGCTTATGTAAAAGAGGCACCTAGTAGATGCTCAGTGAACATTAGGTTTCCTGCCCTTGTATGGAGCCCTGAGACATGTCCTGAGCTCCTGGGCCAGAGCCAGATTCTCCCCTGTCACTATGACCCCCAGGCATTGCTGCTAAACTGGTTTCAGTGTCCTTCAGTCACCTCACATTTGACACCTGCTGAAGTGCTGTTTTCCACTGGGGGAGAGGGAGGCATAGCACAGTGATAAATGTCAGCTGCTGTCATTTATCAAAGACCTATCATCTGCCAAGCACATGCAGTCCCCTCACAGACATGGTCTCTAATTGTGACAATAGACCCCCCACACACACACACACACATACAAGTAGGTCTGACCATCCCCACTTTACAGCAAAGGGAGCCAGGCTCAGAAAGCTGAAGAAAGCCTAGGGCCAGACTGGTGAGGGCGGGAGCCAGGGGTCCAACCTGGCGCTGGCTGGGGTTCTCAGATCAGATTTCCAAGGTCCACCCCAGATCCAGTGCATCTGAATCTCTGTGAACAGGACCCTGGAATCTGCATGTTAACACCTCCACTGTGATCTAATGATGGACCAGGTATAGAGGCTGGGAGGACTTCCTGGTGCTGTGGTGAAGGTGGTTGTCTGGGGATGTTCTCAACCTTAACCAAAGAGTAATATGTTAAGAGTCTAAGGGAAGTGGGAAATCTTTGAAAACAGACCAAACTTACATGTATCTGAGGTTGTCTGAAGAAACTGTTTTACTGGTTTTATTTCAAATTGCTCAAAAGGAAGCTGGCCCCATGAAGAATTCACTTTGAGTTACATCAGGGATTATGTTCAGTAAGGAGCTGGGAGCATTTGTGTCGAGGACTTTCTCTGTCTCCCTCTTTAAAGTTTTATTCTGTAAAGCAGAGCAGGCAAAAAATACTAGATGTTCCGTGGAAAATCATGGAAGACCACGGGAGATGGCTCTGTTGGCTGAATTTATGACGTGCTTGAAAGCATCTGTGTTCTAAGCAAGTAACCTAAATGGCTGTGAGCAGGAAATTTAATCTGCTTTTTAGCAAATCAGTATCAGCAAAGGCAGGCAGGGTGTACAGAAACCTCACAGGTAGCCAATGGAGTGAGAAAAGGAAAGCTCAGATCTTCAGCATCCAACAGGTTTCAAGTGGCAAAAATATTCACTATTTCCAAGTAGATGTTTTATCTTTAATTTAATTGGTTGTGGTTGAATTAATAATTTGCAAGTAAAATGTACTGTCAGTTTAAGTTTATTTATATATTTCTCTCCAAATTACTAATTATATCCTGTTTCATAAAATATACAAGTGATTCTGTTAAATGGCCTTTCCCTATATGAACCTGGGCCTGCATCTCCCTGAAGAGGCATTAATGCCTGGTAGCATGTACCAGAGGGTATAACAGAAGAGTACTTTAGAGAAATTAGAAACTTCCCTAGGACTTGTTATGAAAGCTCAATTCCTTTAAAGTAATGGAAACGTCATAAATCACGCAGGTTTAGTTTTGCCAAAGGACGGTGCGAAGACTGGCTGAACCCCCGGGGCCGCTGCCAGCTCTTTAGCAATTTGTCTGGCACGGTCTCCAGGCAGGATTTAAAGGCAACCAACTGTTAGCAAGCATTGGAGTAAAGGAGGGATCTGCTCCCTGCCTTGACGGGCTGATGCCTGCAGGAGCAGGCAGGACAGCCTCACTCCAACCCAATTCCAGGGCGCTGTGGGGGGCCTTGCCGATGTGATTTAGGATCTTTAGATGGGAGATTATCCGGGAGTGTCTGCCGGCCGGAGAGGGGTGGCCCTAAACGCAATCACATGTATCCTTACAAGAAGGAGCAGAGGGGGATTTGACACACACACAGGAGAAGGCCACGTGCAGGTGGAGCAGAGACAATTGAGGATGCTGGCCTGAAGATTGGAGGGGTGTGGCCACAAGCCAAGAATGCCAGCAGCCAGCAGAACGTGGAAGAGGCACAAAGCATATTCTACCTTAGAGCCTCCCGAGGGAGCTCAGCCCAGTGATACTGATTTCCTCCTCTTGGCCTCCAGAACTGTGAGAGAATACATTTCTGTTGTTTTAAGCCACTGAGCTTGTGGTAATTGGACAGAGCACCCCTAAGAAAGTAACACGAATACACAGGATAGAAGCCGGCACACCCACCACGGGGTCTGGCAGACACACATGACTGTGGGGTGATGGTCTCTCCCAGGACTAGGATGCTGGTCACTTTGGGGCCATCTTGTATCTTCTTCTGCCAAAGACCCACAATTCTCAATACAATCTCCAAAGCCTAGTGGGCAGCCCCCGCCCCTGGGCCCGCAACCTAACAGACTGAGGCTTATTTAAAATTACGGAAACAATCTAAATCATCACAAGTGGATGAAAAGCACAATTTAGAAGTAGAATCTAGATGGTCCTTACCATCTAACTAGCTCCATTACCCCATTTTACAGATGCGGAAACTGGGGCCCAGAGGAGTTAGTGGGCTAGTCACAAACCAATCTAAACTAGAACATCTAAAACACATTCTCTAGACAAACCTATGGTTACCAGGGGATAAAGGGGGTGGGAAGGGATAAATAGGAATTCGAAAATTGCACCCCTTTGGGGGTGATGGAAATGTTAGCCATCTTGATTGTGGTAGTGGTTTAATTGGTGTATACATCTATAAAAATTCATCAAAGTGTACGTTTGAAATATGTGTAGTTTACTATACAGAAACCATACCACAATAAAGGTGTTAAAAAATTAAAAATTAAACATATTCTGTAAAATGGTGCAAACCCTGAAAGTATCTCCTATCCCGTGGCCAACATTAACTGACAAAGCAAAAAGTATGTTTAGGAACCATTGCTTCTGGTGTATGGCGTATTAACTCGACAGTTAACCGTGTTCTGCCTTGTCCACGTTGCTGTCATTCTGAACTGTCTTTTAAATGTTTTGTTGTTATTTAATCTTTGGTTTGTTTATTGGCTCATTCCTCCATCCAGATTGTACAGTCCTTTAGGGCAGACAGATTTCATCCTCCACAGAAACTAGCCCAGGACTTTGCTCACAACTAGTGTTCAATAAACATTTATTTAATTTTCGTCCTGGAGAGCCTACTGGCTATTTTGTAAGCCCCAGTGTAATTCCATTTTCTTACAGGTGAGACCACAAAAGCTGATCACAGCTCATCAGTTCCAGGGACAACTGCACAGCCGGTCACCCTGATGCAGGTACCGGGGACCACCATGGTCGGAGCCACCCACACCACATTGCCAAAGCCATCCCCATCTGCAGGCTCCACCAGCAGCAGCCTCAGACCACAGCCTGTGGGCCAGAGAAGCCGGGAGCTGGGTCAGTAGGAAGACTGTGTTTTGCCATGTGCTAGAAAAGAGGGAAATTGGGCTTTTAGAGTTAATAGCTCTGTCTGAATGCCTGCGTGTAGTGTCCATGTCCCACCTTTTTAGCTGGGTTGGGGGAGAGCACCTGAGACCCAGGAGAGGGGTATGTGCTGTGTCCTCCCAGATTCCACGGGTAAACTTGAGCCCAGTAATGATTCCAGACCAAGCTAAGGGCTGAGCAAACTGTGTTGAAGGGGCTTAATGCAGATTTGAAAATAGACCTTCTGTTAATTGTACTTTGGAAGGTAGGCTATTATGTGAAATTTGCCCACTGCAAAATCCCCAGTTCTCCGAAAGCTGGGTTGAAGGGATCATATGTAAACACCGCTGGGTTTTGTTTTGTTTTAAGGGACAAATTGAATACTCCTGAAAGTCTTCAAATAAACAAACAAAACAAAAAGAATCCCTCTAGGAAAAGCCAGATAGCTGAAGTTTTTATTCCTTTTCTAACTGCTTTTTGTCTTACCACTTGTATCCACAAATCAGGTTTTAGGTTTTGCCAAAATCCAGTTTATGGAATTCATCTCAGTATTACATGAAACACGACCTTAGGAGCTCATGCGATCATGCAGATACCAGTTCTACACAGGCTCTTTCTATGTTAGGCATCCTGGGCACTGAGTGCCCGTCTCATTTCGAAAGGCCCCCTGGCCAGGGGGCGGGCAGTTCCTCAGCCAGAGCGGCACTATTGTCTCAGCTAGTTTTTCTAACTAGTTCCTGCCTCCAGCTCCTTTTTTCTTCTAGGAGGAAGTGTCCAGGACTCATTCTTTTCAGCCTGATCTCCAGCTTCCAAACATCACTGCCACCTAGCTTGGCCCTGCCCCGCTTCCACATCAGCACCCAGCTCTCTAGTCACCTTTCTCTTTCACAAACAGAAACAAGCACTTGCAGCGTGCTAGACACTCTTCTAAGCACCCCACAGATACGAGCCTATTCGATCCTCAGAACAACCCTGTAAACTAGATACATTACTTCTAATCTGACTAATTCATTGTCTTGAGGAGGAAACCAAGGAGTAGGTCGGTGAGGAAACTGGCCCTGAGTCCCGCAGCTGGGAGGGGGCAGAGCTGGGATGCAAGCCCAGCAGCCCAGCTCTCCGGTGGCGCCCCTCGTAGGAGGGCACCCCGGCTGTGAACGAACACCCCGGGCACTGACGATGCAGGCGCCTGACCTGCCTTGACATGGATGGGGTGGCAAGGACAGAGGGTCTTAGACACAGCCGACTTTGCTGTAATCCGTAACAGACAGTAACAGAACGCACCGCCCATTCTCTCCCTGGGCCGGGGGCCCTGCATGCATTCTTTTATTTAATCTTCCCAACAACTCTATGATGTTGGGACAATTATAATTCCATCTGATGAACGACTCCTGGAAGAACTATACTATAAATTCCCCAAATAAAAATACCATAAAAATAATTCCTGAAATATATTAGGCACTCCCCCACCATCTTGATTCTTTCAAAGACTTCTGAGTAGCTGAACGAGTTGTTTGCTCCTGGTGTCTCCTTAGAGGATGTCCATTTTTACATAACACATATAATTAAGACTGGGGCGTATTTATTTGGCTACACTGGGAGCTTGGAAATCCTGTTACAAGTTGGGTCTGTGCTTATGGAAAACCTCAAGCAACTTGAAGCAGTGGCTCCCAGCCTGGCAAAGCTTCCTTATTCCTGGCTTGGGGACAGGAGCTTTGGGCAGCAGCCTCCCAGCCCTTCAGTGCTCCCTCTTCATCCTGGTCCAGCACCCGCGTCCGCGCTGCCCTGCAGACGGCTAGGCAAATATTCAGGGCAGGAGCCCCATGCAGCCTGGGCCGTGATTGCTAAGAAAGGAGCCAAAGTGGGGAGGGCGGAAGGGAGAGAGGACTTTTTAAAACATGGAGGGCCTACTCAAAGGATTTTCTGTAGGAATGAAGAGGAGTGAAGACTGATGTTTCAATGCCTATGTCTTTTTTTAAACCACAGCATTATTAAGATACTGTCGCCTACCATACAATTCATCCATTGAAAGTGTACCAGTCAATGGTTTCTACTATACTCACACAGTTGTGTAACCATCACCACAGTCAGTTCTAGAACATTTTCATAACCCCGAGAAGACACCCCACACCCACTGACAGTCACTCACCATGACCCCCAAATCCCTCCCTCCCCTAGGTCCAGAAAACCTCCAGTCTACTTTCATGAATGCCTATCTTAATGCATGACTATAAGAAACCAAGTTTACTTCTTTTTTCTTTTGTTTTGGGGAGAAGGTAATTAGGTTCACTTATTTATTTTTAATGGAGGTACTAGGGATTGGACCCAGGACCTCATGCACGCTAGGCACATTCTCTACCACTGATCTATACCCTCCCCCTAATGCATGACTACAATTATTTGCTGTGATATTTTAGCCCAACTATATTAAATAATATTTGCTATATAGATAACTTCACTGTTTCTTCAAATGAGCTGAAAATATTCTGTTAATTATGAGAGAGCAACTCTCCTGCTGATGGACAAGTAAGTTGCCATGGTTGCATTTATTAAGTGTTTTTTTCTTTCATATATGTGACTGTAGTCAGAAGATCCTAGAAGTGGTTGTCAAGGGGTGTTTGAGCAAAATCTAATTTGTTTATTCATTCAGAAAGTATTTATTGAGTGCCCACTATGTGTCAGGCACCATTCTAGAAGGGTCTTGGGCTACATCAGTGAACACAGCCCACAAAGATCCCTGCAGCCAGACACCTGAGACATGAGAATCAGAACCGGAACAACCTGCATTTGGGGGTCAGAGTCATCTTTGTTCCACAGTAAGGTAGAGAGCTGCCTTCCAGATAGGACACAGAAACTTGGAGGGGGTCCAGTAAATAGAAACTCTGTAGCAGGAAAAGACAGAGTCTCTCCCAGCCCATGAAGAAGAGCTGATATAGGAGGAAAGACCCAAAGAAAGATGAGGCCGGACCCCAAGGCTACGTGATGACCCCTTAACTGACCCATGAATGGGCAAATGTGACAGGACAGAGAGGAACAAGGAACAAGACTGGGGCTCGGGAAGCCAAGAGCCGGAGAGATGGAGACCCACCCCTGATCCCGGGGCAGGGGCAAGGCTGTTCTTCACAGGAGAGGCCAAGGATGATGCTGGTACCCACACGAGCCAGGCAGTCCCAGTGCTGTGTCCCAGGGCCAGAGGAAGCAGCCTGGAGAACCAGATCCATTAGTTATGCTGAGGAAAGAGTTCTGGAAAAGATGGAGAATCCCTCAGGCCCAGATGAACCTACCACAAGCTTGGAAGGTGGAGTGGCTTCACCTGGCATCGTTTTCCTGGCCTGGTTCATCTGAAGAAGTGCATGGTTACCTCAGCTGATCTACCATAGCATCGAATATGTCCACCAGGAAAAGTTAACCAGGGAGGGGGCAGCAGAGCCCCACCTAGTGGCAAGGCTTGGTGACGCACCTTTCTCCTCCACTGTGCCCTCTGACCAAGGGCAGCTCACCTGGGATAGGAAGGAACCAGCGTCTATAACTGCCCATCCCTTCCACATGCAGTTTCCCGTCTCACCAACATGTCACATCTCTGAAAGTTTATCTTCTTTAAGGTGTCGGGAGAAGGTTTTTTTCTTAAAATCCAGTCTTATAGAATAGTAAGACAAATATTCCAAAAGAAAAATGGATCAAGGCCATGACCAGGCAGGCCACAGTGGAGAACTGTAAACAGCCCATAAACATAACAAGAGGCGTCCAACTTCACCAGGATCCAAATAAATGCAAAGTAAACAAGAAGATGTCATCATTCACCAATTCACACTGGAAATGGGTAAAACACAGTTTCGGCAAGAGTATGGAGAAGTGATTCAGCTCCCGCACTTACAGGAATAGATTCTAAGGTAAGTATCAGCCAGAGTCAAAAGAAGCCTGGACAGATGCTGTTCTTGATAAAAATTAATGGAGATGACTTAATTGTCCATCATCAGAATGGTGAAAGAAGTTAATACATGACTACTGAAATACATGCTCTTACTGACAGCGGAAGCCTGGTCTGTGACAGGCTGTTAAGTCAAAGCAGGCTACAAAACAGCACGGGCGCCAGTCTCATGTTCTGTAACTATGTTTTGCACATGAGAACGTGCACGTAGGAAAAGGGATACAACACTATAGACCAAAATTGTAAACCAGGAACTGCTGGAGAGAGGAATTGCCAGTGATTCCTTACTATCTACGGTGTATATTTGGACAGTGAGCATGTGTCAGCTTTATAATTCCAGAGAAAACAAAGCTATTTTGAGTTTGTGTCCAAAGAATTAGGACAAAGACAAAGGGAATGAAAAGTTATAGCAGACAGATTTGGTTCTATGAAAAACTGAGCATTTTCCCATGATCTCTTGTCTCTTCCCTTCCATGAAACTTGGTTCTTTCCCTCAGCTGGTTTTTATGTGGTCCCCTTCCCCCACAAAATGGACTTTGCATCTCTCTTTCCAGAATCTCCCACCTCCCTCCTCCCTTTTAAAACCTTGCTTCAGAAAGAATTGCCCAATAAATAATGAATGCTGAAGTGTATTTGATTTTTCCACAGAGTGGTTCAGGATAACCCATTGTGTAGCCTTAAAAATGACTAAAAGCTAATGTTATTTGCATCAATACCGTGTTAATGCAGTTTAAGCAAATTGCTAAACGTTAAGTGACATTTCTACTGAAGAATTACCTGAACCGCCTCAGGAGTGGCACAGCTGAGGACAATTACTCTAAGAATAATGAAGTCTAAAGAAATATGGCACTTTAGTAAGATGCTTGCTCTGACAATTGTGAAATCAAGGATTACTATTACCCAGAATTGTCAGTCAGTGTTTTGAGTTAAATCCATTTTTTTTCCCCATTTCAACACCTCCTCCAGGGCAGGTTCAGACCACCCAAGGACAAAGCATTACCTTGGTTCTGACCTTGGTAAAGTCTTGCTAGGACGGATCATGGAATAA